TCTCCAAATAGTTTATTGTTAGACAAATCTAACATCTGCATAGAAGATGCCTTTGTTGAACATAAAAAATGGTGAACATCTGAAAAATTTTATCCGATACATCAAGAATGCCCGCTCTATGTAGAAATTGTGGAATTTCACCCTCAAAATGATTGGAGGCCACAGATATCCAAGCATTAGAGATGGATTTCAAGGGAACACTTGGTATTGTACCAGCAAAGTTATTGCATAAAATATTCAAGTAAACTAGCTTTGGTGTTAACAATGCCCAAAACCACTTGGAATTGGACTTGAAATTTCAGAGTTGGAAATATTAAGGGCAATGAAATTATTTTGAGTTTGCAACCATTTGGGAAAACCAGGACCTAACTTATAAGACCCCACATACATGGCTTGCAATTGAAATGATAGAATCCAGTTGTGGCTAAAGTTCAAAGCCAATACGTTGAAAGATAGGACTAAATTTTTTAAGCTAGGCATATTAGCAAAATGGAATTCAGTGAAAGTACCTTTCAAAGAGTTGGACCTAATATTTAAAGTCTCTAATGAAGAGGGAAATTGAAGATCTTCAGGTATTGACCCATTTAGCAAATTCTTTGAAATGTCAAATGTCTCTAAAGATGTGAATGCAGAAAGGTTAACTAGTGTGCCACTGATTTGGTTGTCCTGTAGGTTCAACTCTTGTAAAGAATATCTAGCACATCTAGAAAGAGATTAAAGGATTGTCAGAAGGTCTTCACTCAAATGGTTATACTCCAGGGATAATGAACATAAGGTACATAGATTCCCTAAGGATTTAAATCCACCCTTGAGGTGATTATCACTAAGGTCCAAATTAACAAAATTGGAGCCAAGATATGAGATCTAATGGAATATTGAAGATGATATGAATTTATTGCCAGATAGATCAATCACATGAAGAGAAGAGGAATTAAATTTTAAAGAAGGTATTGAAAGGATATACTGATATGAAAGGTCATTGTTAGTAGCATCAATTCTTTCAACCTCGGTAGCTCTCCAATCATTTGCAGCCACTTGTAAGAAGATTTGACATTGGTTATGTTCACTAACTTAAGATGGGTCAAACTTGTCAGACCAGAGAGCCACTCACCTCCACCACCATTCTTTTCATCAATTTTGATAGCACCATCATATGAACCAAGGAAAAGCTTTTGCAAGTTTGAAAGGTTCCCAAGTTGAAAAGGTATTACTCCTCCAAGCTTGTTAGATGAGAGATCAAGATATTGCAATCTTGAAAGATTTCCCAATTGATAAGGTACTACTCCTTCAAGTGAGTTGGATGAGAGATCAAGATATTACAATCATGAGAGATTCCCAAGTTGATAAGGTACTTCTCCTTCAAGTCTGTTGGATGAGAGATCAAGGTGTTGCAATCGTGAGAGATTACCAAGTTGATAAGGTATTTCTCCTTTAAAAAAATTATTTCCAGAGAGATCAAGATACTACAGTTGTGAGAGATTTTCAAGTTGACTCAGAATATTTCCACTTCCTAAAAAACAGTATTTAAGATCAAGGTACTATAGGTTGCTTAGAGAGCCAAAGAATTTGAGGATATTACTGTCTTCAAAATAATTGAAACTAAGGTTGAGATACATTAAGTATTGCAACTCCATCAACGATGCACTAATGTGACCTTGCAAAGACAATTGGTTTGGATCATCACGAGGAAGGTGGAGCATCATGACATGCCCTGTTTGGTTGCTGCAATGAACTCCCTCCTATTGACAACAATCTCTCTTGTGCTTCTGACTACCCCATGAAGACCATGCGTATGGGCCTGAGTCATCTGCCCTAAGGCCATCCTTAAATTGAAGCAAGGCTTGCCTCTCCCTCTCTATGCAATGAACCATTGTACTTGTAGATCTCCATGAATTAAGAGCAAGGACCCCATACTCAAGCACTATTATGGGTAACAGTATGAATTTGAGAAACCCAATGAATATCCTCATTGTTCTTTTCTCTTAGCAAGTCAATCTATCAATTGGTGATATGAGTATAGGGACTTGTGGGGAATCTATTTATAGAGAGTACAATATGTTATTTTAAAATTTATTTAAAAGTTGGGATCTTTTTTTGCCTTTGCATGGCAGACAATGCATGTTATATCACAGGAAAAAAAATTATTAACACTAAGATTTTCCAGAGTAACAACCAGTTGTAATTAAATGAATATATAATTATTTGCGTATTATTTTGAATTATGATCAATATAATTCTTTTGTTACTAGCTAGTATGCCTAGTTCAAATATTATGATGATTTCCATTAAATGACTATCTCAAATTGGATAACATTTGAAAAATTATCTTGCATTTAATTTACAATATTTTATGATTTTATCAAATTATATTGTAAAGTTATAAACCTAAAAATATGACTATATATGTAAGTGTATGTTTTATGCTTGTTCTATTTTGAAATTATATAAGTCAAAGTCCAAGTTGTCCCCCCTCGAAGCAAGGCACCAGTGTCTATCGCTTTTACCCCAGCCTTCACGGCCAATATAATTACCGTTTTTTATTCTGGTGTCTAAAAAAGCAGTTAGAAAAATGGAAAAGCACTATCATTAAGGCCCAGGCACTATCATTTTTTTTTACTTTTCATTCTACTTTCCAAAAGCAACTAGAAAAATGGCAAAGAATTGACACCAACATGGCTTGATTCCTAGCAATTTCCGGCCATACTTTGTTCAATTCAAGTCTCTGCATCAATAATCAATTATCACTTGAGTGTATGTTATTTTTATACAATTGAAATGGACTGCATATTCTAAAATGTGTAATATTTTCTTTCAAAAGTGAGAATTAGCATCTTCAATTTGGCTTCGGATAGTTATAGGCTGCTTGTTGAGACAATTATTCTTTCTCATGATATATCAACAAACTTGTGATATATTTACCTACGTTTAATCCGTGATTAAACAGGTATGACAAAAATCTTACCAAAGTATTGTGTCACTAAATCTAGTACCTCAAGTTTTTTTTCATGTAATATTTTTTATTATTACATTATGCATGCAATTCATTTCAATTTCCTCTCTTAGGAAAGAATAGAGAGAAATCAAATACAGGAGAGAAATATTTAATAAATTTAACGCATTTTATCTTTTGTTTTCACATAACAATATAAAATAATTTTGTTGCGTATAATAATTCTCGTTTTGGACATAATTCTATTCAAGATAAGTTTACGCATTAAGTATGGATCAGCAAGAATTTAAATATTAATTCGTTACATTGTAAGAAATTAACCCATTTTATTACACCCAACTCTTGTTAATAATTTCTTATGATTTTAATATCATATAATATAATTATTCTATAATAAAATTTCAAATATATGTAAAACTATTTCAACTAAACTTATGGCAAATTTCTCCCAGAATCCAATTTTTGTCACAAATTGGTTAGCATTTAAATTGTCTATATTATTTTATGGTTTAATCAAATTATCTTGCAATGCAAAAAACACAAAAACATGACTGCACACTTCAGTGTGTCTTATATTTGTTCTAATGTATACTTAGTTATAAAAGTCATGTCCCTCCAAACAAGGCAAAGAAAAGTAAGTGATTGACTTTTGTCCCAAGGTTCACGTCTCATCATCATTTTTCATTTTTTATATAAAAAAAATCGGTTAATTTGATTAAAAAAAAACTCATCATTTTCATTCTAATTTTTAAGAACATAATCAAGGATGAGCAAGTGACACCCATCAAAAAAATATTAAAAACTCAATCAGTCATTGACCTGATTAAGGAAATGGCTTAAGAGTTTGAGATCTAACCAAAGATTAACCCTTAATCAGATTAATCATGATTAAAATAATATAATATAATTTAAATATATTAAATATTCATATTTGACTATGAAAAATAGTAATATTTAACTAAAAAATTCTTTAAGTCTCAAGAAAATAAAAAATTCATCCATAAAATCTTATTTTCATCTCATACAAATATTAATTATAAGTTTCTAATAATAATAAAATGCAAACATTTAGAATATTAATTTAGAGATTTATATTTGATTTAGAGTTTAATATTCAAAAGATAAAAGGAAAAAAAAGAAAAATAAAATAAAATTTAATCTAATCCAGATCAACCCATTAAACCTGCTAAGTTGACTTAAAATTTATATATATTTTATGTTTATTCTAATGTAAACTTCATTATCAAAGTCATGTCCCTCGAAACAAGGCAAAGAAAAATACAGTGATTCACTTTTGCCCCAAATTTCACGTCTCATCATCATTTTCAGTTTTTTAATAAAAAAATTGGTGAATTTGATTCAAAAAAATTATCATTTTCATTCTAATTTATAAGAAGATGAGCAAGGATTATATATGATACTTATCAAGAAAGTACTAAAAAAAGAACTGGTCATTGTAGAGACAATAGTTAAAGGGTTAAAGACCCAACAAAAGGTTAATCTTAAATCTCATGATTAAAATAATATAATATAATTTAAATATATTAAATATTCATATTTGACCATAAAAAATAATAATATTTAAATAAAAAAGTATTCAAGTCGAAAAATTCATCCATCTCTTAAGAAAATGAAAAATTCGTCCATCAAATCTTTTACGTATCTTACAGAAACATTAATTATAAGTTTCTGATAATAATAAAATGAAAACATTAAAAATATTAATTCAAAGATTCAAATTTAATTTAGGGTTCAATATTCAAAAGAGAAAAGAAATAAAATTAAATATAATCTAATTTAGGTCAACCTATTAAACCTGTCAAGTTAACTAGATTTCCTATGTTGAAGCTGGGTTCATTGGGCTGAAATCGGCTCACAAAGTGACCAGTTCGGCCGGTTCACCGGTCAACCCAGTGGTCACTAATGTAGGTCCATTAGGTGGTTTTCTCATTAGATGGCAACATCTTGTATGTGTTATGAGAAAAGTAAAAAATTCCAGCAAGACAAAATTGTACCAACACTGAGGCAGCACCCAACAAAACAAGGAGACTGCAGATAGTCATTAATTAATTGAGCACAAGGGGAAAAATTCATGAAGATACTCAACCATTTTACTGTTACAAACTACTTAATTTGATGCTTAAATGGCAAATGCTTTAGAAGGCCACCTTTCTCGGAGGAATGACCACATTTTTGTTTCCAGGAAAAGCAGTTCGAGAAATGTCTACCAAAGCCTTGAAGCTATAAGGCTCATGCATGGAAATCTCTGACAAAACCTTCCTGTTAAGCTTGATATTCTCCTTCATCAGCCCGTGCATGAAGTTCCCATAGTTAACCTGTTCAGTAAAACCAAGGAGACAAGTGACCAAGGGTCAGAACATTGATTGACCACTCTAGATGGTTACTAAACTTCTGCAGATATATCTAATCCTGCTTTAAAATTGAATGAAATTTTAAATAAAGAAGTCAAAATTCCTCCTTATCAATGCAAAACCATGTTATCATGATTTAAACCAAGCCATGAGATAAGAGCAAGTCTATGTTTGTTCAATGTGCAACTAGTGAAGGAAAAAAGTACCAAACCATGGGCCTAACTGGACTTCCCAACTCCTACTCATACACAGTATAGATTTCATATTGGTTTGTCCAAGTCCAGTAGATATATGGCACTACCATTGACAGGCACAGAAGTGGCTGCCCTGTTTGTTAACAAGGAGGTAAGGCTAAAAGGTAACCCAAAATCAAAAGCTTCAGTGAGAGAAAAAATAAACCGATTTTGTAGGTGAGTTGTTTAAATTGGCTGGCTCCACAAATGAATAAAATTAAGCATACCAGCCAATGGACAAACTGAAGTTTAAACATTATGCATGACATTTTCCTCAGATTCGAGTTCTATAGAAATGCAAAATCTCTATACAATACCAGAACTCATCTGACTTTAGACAAGGGACTCAAATGATATCATGATAGCAAAATTGTTTACATAGGAATGCAACTTTTTTATTTTAATTAAATTCTTAAATTTAATGTTAGTGTTACGAAAATTAGATAAAGGAGGATAGGGTAGGCTTTCACTAAAAAATAGACAGCAAAAAATTATGAAATAGAAAAAATGACAGTAAAAATAGACAAGACAAATATCTTCAGTAAATAGTTTTCCAAAAAAAAAATTTATGACTGAGACAAGAATATACATAGTGACACCAAGATAGAACCACACATGAACACGGATATTCAATTAAAAGAGCCTCTAGCAGAAATAGGAAAGAGAAAAAAAGTTCAAGATTTTCAATCAAGTAGTAATTTGATAGCTTTACCACGCACATCTCTCCAATTAATGAAGAAAAGAAAAAATGGATGCCGAAAGGCAGACATCAATAAAATCAAACAATTCAGAAAAATGTTCGATTCACGTAATGACTGCATGCAAGCCAGACCATTTCAACTACTAAAAGCCACGAACAATTCAAATTCCTTCTGAGCCAACCATATTAGTTCCAAGATCCACAAATTCATTTTTGCTTGGACCTCCTTATTCTGTCATATCCTCCTCTTCACATCCTTAACATTTTTAAATCCACTAAAGGAAAATCCTCTAAAAAGAAAATTCTTTATTCTTAACCAATAGATGATCATATTATTGATAATAAATGGCATGCTACTGATGAAGAACATCCCCCTACAATCATTCTTTTGATCGAGGTTCATGTATCACATGTCTATCTAATGGTTAGAAGCTTGACACATGCCAGTAAAAAATTAAAATTAAAATTAAAATTAGGTAAAAGTGCACTTCTCTTCCTCTAATTAAAATTGGAGCTAAGATTTGAGATCCAATGGAATATTGAGGATGAGGTGAATTTATTGTCAGATAGATCAATCACGTGAAGAGAAGAGAAATTAAATTTTAAAGAGGGTATTGAAAGGATATGCTGATCTAAAAGGTCATTGTTGGGTAGCATCAATTCTTTCAACCTCGGTAGCTCTCCAATCATTTGCAGCCACTTGTAAGAAGATTTGACATTGGTTATGTTCACTAACTTAAGATGGGTCAAACTTGTGAGACCAGAGAGTCACTCACCTCCACCACCATTCTTTTCGTCAATTTTGATAGCACCATCATTTGAACCAAGGAAAAGCTTTTGCAAGTTTGAAAGGTTCCCAAGTTGAAAACGTATTACTCCTCCAAGGTTGTTATATGAGAGATCAAGATATTGCAATCTTGAAAGATTTCCCAATTGATAAGGCACGACTCCTTCAAGTTCATTAGATGAGAGATCAAGATGTTGCAATTGTGAGAGATTCCCAAGTTGATAAGGTACTTCTCCTTCAAGTCTGTTAGATGAGAGATCAAGGTGTTGCAATTGTGAGAGATTCCCAAGTTGATAAGGTATTACTCCTTCAAGTTGATTGGTTGAGAGATCAAGGTGTTGCAATCGTGAGAGATTCCCAAGTTGATAAGGTATTTCTCCTCTAAAAAAATAATTTTTCGAGAGATCAAGATACAGCAATTGTGAGAGATTCTCTAGTTGACTTGGAATATTTCCCTTTTTTAAGTTACATCTTTGAAGATCAAGGTACTTTAGGTTTCTTAGAGAGCCAAAGAATTCAGGGATATAGCCATCTTCAAAAGAATTGAAACTAAGGTTGAAATACATCAAGTATTGCAACTCCATCAATGATGCACTGATGTTACCTTTCAAAAGCGATTGGTTTGAATCATCATCACCAGCAAGTTGGAGCATCAAGACATGCCCTGTTTGGTTGCTGCAATAAACTCCCTCCCATTGACAGCAATCTCTCTTGTGCTTCTGACTGCCCCATAAAGACCATGCGTAAATGCCTGAGTCATCCGCCCCAAGGCCATCCTTAAACTGAAGCAAGGCTTGCCTCTCCCTCTCTATGCAATGAACCACTGTGCTTGTAGCTCTCCATGAATTAGGAGCAAGGACCCCATACTCAAGCACTAGTATGGCTAACAGTATGAATTTGAGAAACCCAATGAATATCCTCATTGTTCTTTTCTCTTGGCAAGTCAATCTATCAATTGGTGATACAAGTATAGGGACTTGTGGGGAATCTATTTATAGAGATTACAATATGTTATTTTAAAAGTTATTTAAAAGTTGGGATCTTTTTTTCCTTCGCGTGGCAAACAACGCATGTTATATCACAAAAAAAATTATCATTAGCAGTAATATTTTCCAAAGTAACAACCAGTTGTAATGAAATGAATATATGGTGATTTACATATTATTTTAAATTATGATCGATATAATGCTTTTGTTTACTAGCTGGTATGTCTAGTTCAAATATTATGATTATTGCCATTAAATGACTATCTTAAATTGGATAACCTTTGAAAAACTATCTTCAATTATATTGCAAAATTATAAACCTAAAAATAAATATGACTGTATATGTAAGTATATGTTTTATGCTTGTTCTATTGTGAAACTATATTAGTCAAAGTCCACGTTATGCCCCCTCAAAGCAAGGCACTAGTGTCTACCATTTTTTCCCAACCTTCACGGCTAATATAATTATCATTTTTTATTATGGTGTCTCATTAGAAAAATGGAAAAGCACTATGATTAAGGCCCAAGCACTATCATTTTTTACTTTTCATTCTACTTTGTAAAAGCAGTTGGAAAAATGGCAAAGGATTGACAGCAACACAGCTTGATTCCTGGCAAATTCTGGGCATGTGCTTTATTCAACTCTTTGCATGAATAATCAATTATATATTGCTTAGAGTGTATGTTATTTCTATACAATCTAAATGAACTAGATGTTCTAAAATGTGTAATTTTTTATTTTGAAAGTGAGAATTAGTTTCTTCAATTTAGCTTCGCATAGTTTGTTGAATGCCTTTGTTGCCAATAGTATTTAAGAAAATACACAGCCTTGTAATAGTGCATCTCATATTATCTTTCAAAATGTCTCAAATAGCCAATAGCCAATGGTAATATATAGTTGTTGCATCAATGAATGATTGCATGACAATCATGAGATTTCAAAATTAATACCTTCAAATCTTTCATTGGCATTATCATTTTCACATTAGAAGAATCCCTTTTGTGACATCTTAATAACATACAAATAACCACATAAGCTTAATGTTTTATGCTATTCAAATAATGTGTGTACAGCTAGAGGTAAGTAAGTCCTCTTTTTCTCTTCAGGTCATACAAATAAGTGTTTTCTTATTCTCATTTTGGTAAAGTCTAGCCTAGCATTGATTTCATCCCGCTATCTTCCAATTTATGTGCATAAGAGTACCAACAAGACTATTATAAACATCTTTTTTCACACGCATCACCTACATCATGATTGCAGTTCACATCAAGACTTTGCCAATATGGAATATCAAAGATTGATCATTTTTTTCACAAATTCTTTTTACTTGAAAATTTTCAATTCTTACCTAAAATTACATCAATTCTTTCAACCCATTGTAAAATCAGTTACCAGTTAATGCTTTCAAAGTAAATTCATGCTGTGAATTGTTAAAAACCTTTTTTAATCTACAATAAGGGTAGTAAGGGTAATAATGACTTTGAAGCCTCCTATGGTTAAAGTAAATTGTTTTCCTCCCATACTTAAGTTGTTAGAATATGCAGTTATTATAGAAAGCATCTATTTTTTTTTTTAATACTCTATACCCACCAGATGCAAGATTTTCTTCATCGCAATTACATTTCAAAAGTCATTATCACTCGGAAACATTGAATTGAAACGATCGAGAAGGGTAGGGGGAGAGAGAGATCAGAGAGAGAAAAAGATAAAGGAGGAAGAGAGAGAAAAAAGGAAGGGAAAGGCCGATACCAAAAAAAAAAAAAGGCTTTGGAAAAGCACTATCATTTTCTACTTTTCATTCTACTTTCTAAAAGCAGTTGGAAAAATGGCAAAGAATTGACAGCAACATGGCATGATTCCTAGCAATTTCCGGGCATACTTTGTTCAATTCAAGTCTCTGCACGAATAATCAATTATTGCTTAGAGTATATGTTATTTTTATATAATTGAAATGAACTGCATATTCTAAAATATGTAATATTTTCTTTCAAAAATGAGAATTAGTTTTTTTCAATTGAGCTTCGCATAGTTATAGGCTGCTTGTTGAGAAAATTATTCTTTCTTACAATATATCAACAAACTCGTAATATATAATTGCCTACGTTTAATTCTGATTAAACAAGTTTGACAAAAATCTTACCAGAGTATTGTGTCACTAAATCAAGTACCTCAAGTTTTCTCATGTAATATTTTTTTATTATTACATTATGCATGCAATTCATTTCAATTTCCTCTCTTACGAGAGAAGAATAGAGAGAAATCAAATATCCAAGAGAGAAAGATTCAATAAATTTAATGTGTTTTTATCTTTTTTTTTTACATAACAATATAAAATAATTTTAGTACATACAATAATTTCTTATTAGAGATTTATTCAAAGTAAGATTGAACACTAAATATGGACCAATAAGAATTTAAACCTTAATTCATTACGTTGTAAAAAAATAATCCATTTTTATTAAACCCAACCCTTATTAACAGTTTCTTACAATTTTAACATCACTATAATATAATTATTCTATGGTAAAATTTCAAATATATGTAAAACTATTTCAACTAAACTTATGGTAAATTTCTCGCAGAATCGAATTATTATCACACATTGGTTAACATTTAAATTCTTTATATGATTTAATCAAATTATCTTGTAATGTAAAAAACTTAAAAACATGACTGTATATTTCAGTATGTTTTATGCTTGTTCTAACGTAAACTTCATCGTCAAAGCCGTGTCCCTCAAAACAAGGCAAAGTACAGTGATTCACTTTTGCCCCAAGTTTCACAGCCCATCATCATGTTATTTTTTTTATATAAAAAAAATTAAGTGAATTAAATGCCAGAAACTTATCATTTTCATTATAGTTTCGAAGAAGATAATCAAGGATGAAATATGATACTTATCAACAAGGTAATAATTTAAGGGTTAAAAGACCCAACAAAAAGTAACCTTAAATCAAATCAGTCATAATTAAAATAATATAACATATTATAAAAAATAGTAATATTTAAATAAAAAAATCATTCGAGTCCCAAGAAAATGAAAATTTCCATCAAACCTTATACATGTCTTATACAAACATTAATTAAAAGTTTCTGACAATAACAAAATGAAAATATTAAAAATATTAATTCAAGGATTCAAATTTGATTTAGGGTTCAATATTCAAAAGAGAAAAGGAATAAAAAAATAAAATCTAATCTAATCTAACACAGGTCAACCCATTAAACCTGCCAGCTTAACTAAATTTCCTAGGTTGAAGCCGGGTCGACTGAACTGAAATCGGGTCACACCGGTCAATCCAGTGGTCACTAATGTAGGTCCATTAGGTGGTTCTCTCTTTAGATGGCAACAACTTGTATGTGTTATGAGAAAAGTAAAAAATCCCAGCAAGGCCAAATTGTACCAACACTGAGGCAGCATCCAACAAAACGAGCAGATCACAGATAGTAATTAATTAATTAAGTACAAGAGGAAAAATGCATGAAGATACTCAACCATTCTACTGTTACAAGCTAATTAATCTGGTGCTTAAATGGCAAACGATTTAGAAGGCCACCTTTCTCGGAGGAATGACCACATTTTTGTTTCCAGGAAAAGCAGTTCGAGAAATGTCTACCAAAGCCTTGAAGCTATAAGGCTCATGCATGGAAATCTCTGACAAAACCTTCCTGTTAAGCTGGATATTCTCCTTCATCAGCCCGTGCATGAAGTTCCCATAGTTAACCTGTCCAGCAAAACCAAGGAGACAAGTGACCAAGGGTCAGAACATTGATTGACCACTCTAGATGGTTACTAAACTTCTGCAGATATATCTAATCCTGCTTTAAAATTGAATGAAATTTTAAATAAAGAAGTCAAAATTCCTCCTTATCAATGCAAAACCATGTTATCATGATTTAAACCAAGCCATAAGATAAGAGCAAGTCGATGTTTGTTCAATGTGCAACTAGTGAAGGAAAAAAGTACCAAACCATGAGCCTAACTGGACTTCCCAACTCCTACTCATACACAGTATAGAGTTCATACTGGTTTGTCCAAGTCCAGTAGATATATGGCACAACCATTGACAGGCACAGAAGTGGCTGCCCTGTTTGTTAACGAGGAGGTAAGGCTACAAGGTAACCCAAAATCAAAAGCTTCAGCGAGAGAAAAAATAAACCGATTTTGCAGGTGAGTTGTTTAAATTGGCTGGCTCCACACATGAATAGAATTAAGCATACCAGCCAATGGACAAACTGAAGTTTAAACATTACGCATGACATTTTCCTCAGATTCGAGTTCTATAGAAATGCAAAATCTCTATAAAATACCAGAACTCATCTGACTTTAGACAAGGGACTCAAATGATATCATGATAGCAAAATTGTTTACGTAGGAATGCAACTTTTTTATTTTAATTAAATTCAAAAATTTAATGTTAGTGTTATGGAAATTAGATAAAGGAGGATAGGGTAGGCTTTCACTAAAAAGTAGACAGCAAAAAATTATGAAATAGAAACAATGACAGTAAAAATAGACAAGACAAATATCTTCAGTAAATATAGTTTTCCATAATTTTTTTTATGACTAAGACGAGAATATACATAGTGACACCAAGATAGAACCACACATGAACACAGATATTCAATTAAAAGAGGCTCTAGCAGAAATAGAAAAGAGAAACAAAGTTCAAGATTTTCAATCAAGTAGTAATTTGATAGCTTTACCACGCACATCTCTCCAATTAATGAAGAAAAGAAAAAATGGATGCCGAAAGGCAGACATCAATAAAATCAAACAATTCAGAACAATGTTCGATTCACGTAATGACTGCATGCAAGCCAGACCATTTCAACTACTAAAAGCCACGAACAATTCAAATTCCTTCTGAGCCAACCATATTAGTTCCAAGATCCACAAATTCATTTTTGCTTGGACCTCCTTCTTCTCTCATATCCTCCTCTTCACATCCTTAACATTTTTAAATCCACTAAAGGAAAAATCCTCTAAAAAGAAAATTCTTTATTCTTAACCAATAGATGATCATATTATCGATAATAAATGGCATGCTACAGATGAAGAACATCCCCCTGCAATCATTCTTTTGATCGAGGTGCATGTATACATGTCTATCAAATGGTTAGAAGCTTGACACACGCCAGTAAAAAATTAAAATTAGGTAAAAGTGCACTTTTTTTCCTCTAACTTCACAAAAGGTTTCAATTTGACCCTTTAATTTTATAAAGTCTCTTTTTAATCCCCTAACCCTAGCACATTAATCTAATTAACAAAAAATGTTGATGAAAGTCAGCCAGAAATGCTGAAATTGATTTTAAAAACTATGAAGTGTCTTTTGTGGCTTATTTTAATTTAAAAACTTCAAATGATTTGATTAAAAAATCAACAATTGAGAATGCTTTGTGAGCGGTTAAAATTGCCATGTCAGCATTTTCTTCCAATTAGATTAATGATGGTAAGGTTAGGGGACTAAATAGACGATTTATAAAATGAAGGATCAATTGGAAACCTAGAATAAAGTTAGATGATCAAAGGTGCACTTTTGGCTTAAAATTGAAACAAAATAATTTTAAAAAAGAAAACCCTGACTGAAGAGAAGAATGCACCACACAAGGTGGAATGCATTGATTTTACAAAACAAGTTGAAAACAGAAACTTAACTGCTACAAGTCTTGATATCAATCATTGGGATAAATCTAGTGGCTAATATGTGATGACTGCACCCTGCAAATACTGCAGGGGATCCACTCTACATTACAGAGTAGAGAATCCTTTTCTGATTCACCAACAACTAATGCTGGTAAATACATTTTCTGAAGAAACTAAGGTTCCAGATGAAGCAATCAAGAAGCAAGGAAAAATCGAGATCACTCAAGAGCAAATGATACTTTGAAATGGTTGGAACTTGGGAAACCATGGTCATTTCCTATCACGAAAAACCAAAGAAAAATTGATGACTAGAATAGTCTGTGGACAATAATCTGAGATGTGAAAAGGAGAAAATTGGCATAAATAAAAGAAAAGGGAGGCCAGTCCAGTAATATCAAAAAAAAAAAAAGTGGTGTGGAAACCCGAAAGGGGGGAACAAAGAAAGGGGAAAATGTCTTAAAACAACAAGATGAGAAAGATGGAAAAATCAATTAAACTAGCACTCCTACATGACCTTAAGGTACCCATGCAGCCTATTTAAAGGAGCCGTGCATTTAAAGTAAGACAGCAGTCAACTACCATGTGATACAATAACATTGAGAAGGAAGTCCCAAAGGCAATTATGATACTTAAAAAATCAATCCTTAACCTAGATTCATGAGATTATTCGATATATGCAAACACATTTTTGCAAGTCATAAGATATAAAAATAAAATGAATAAAGAAGACAACTAGATTAAGGAGTTACAGAAAGCTTCAAATTTTCATAATAACAACCCATTTGGATAAAATATTATACAGAAATCTGGTGCGTGGATATAGGGCAGAGACTAGTCTCTAATATGAGTAATAACTAAGAGGACTAATCCTCTGCAAACTAATAATTAGTAAGCGGGAAAAGAGGGAGTGATACATACACCATGAATGCGGGTGCCAGCATTAATCCGTTGGATCCAAAGGGAGCGCATGTCCCTCTTTTTGTTACGGCGATCTCTGTAGGAATATTGCAAGGCCTTCTCTACCCTTTCCCTAGCTATCCTTATGCAATTCTTGGCTCTTCCACGGAAGCCCTTTGCTAGCTTGAAGATTTTATCCTTGTTCATTTTCTTGTGTTAATCTAATCTGCAATCATAATTCCACTCATTCAACAGAAGATTATCAAAACGACAGTCCCAATTACCATAGTTGTATGATAGTTTTTAATACATCTGCACTTGGAATCAATAAATTAAGAACTGCTTTTAAAAACTTTTATTTCTCGAATCCATTATTAATTCTCAGAGACCACAAGCGGAATATGAGATATCTTCATATCAAAACAAATGAAAACAGTCACAATATGCTCAGAAGTCGAAGTGAGTGACCATAGGCGGACCTGTATTACACTCAGTGGGGGCATCTGCCGCCACTGAAATCTTTGGAATGTGCATAGTTGATATAATACCCGTTTAATTTTCAAGCCAAGTTATTTACAAGATCATACATCACAAATACCTCGAGAATTTTCTAAATTGATGATACTATAAAAAGATTAATAAACAGAAAGTTAATACACAACAAACCAACACTGCAACAACCAAAAAAAAAAAAATCCAAATCATACAAGTCGCTAGTAATCAAAATGAAGAGGGCAGAGGTATAATAGCCAATTGCACACCATGCAAGCAAAAAACTAGTACACAAAAAATAATAATAATAACAACAAATAAATAAACAATAAAAAATAAACTCAATCAGTACATATTCCCAATTCAAAAGCCTCAATATTCAAACGATTACACGACCAGATTCAAAGCCAAATTAAAATGAAAAAATTAAAACAAAGCAAGAAGAACAACGCCGGCAACAGATGACGCGGGGAACAAATTGGCTATTATAGACTCAAAGCCAGATTGAACAAATCAATCTCACCGGACCGAGAACAACCACGCAGGGTTCACAACGGTGGACGGCGTCCGACGGAGTGTGGAATGCTCGTCCCTCGGCGAAGCGAAGTGGATCGGCTACTCAAGAGATTCGGTTTTGTCGGGGTTTAGGCATAGGCCGAAAGTTTATTACTCAAATAACAAAAATAATTATCTCATCCATACAAAATTTAAAATAGTACTCTTTCAATTTTATTTATAAATTATTTTATATTAATTTTATTAATATCAATAAAAAAATATAAAAAATAAAAGTACTTGAAATTTTAAATATAAATTTTAAATAAAAAATAAAAAAAATAAATAATATAATATTTTTCTGTCTTCTTTCTCTTATATTTTAAGAATAATTTGTATATTTTAGTTTGAAACAAAATAATTACATCAACTGATGACTTATAAAATAGGTTAAATTTTATTTTTAAAAGGTGACTAATATATAAGGTCGGAGGAGTATTAAAAACAGTTTTCATTTTGATTCTTTTTCCTATTTCCATTCCTTTAAAAAAAATATTCAAACAATTAAAATGATTCTTAACCTTTTATCATATTGAAAAAAATAAAGTTTACTTAAAAAAAAGATGTAAAGTGGGTGGAAACATATTCTGCTACACAATTTTATGCTAATGCAAAATATATATGAATTGTGAAGATACTAATTTAAATTCTGTGTGTGTAAATATCTATTATCTTTGTATATTTTTATATCATATGTAAATATATTAAACATTTAATTTTTTATAAATATACAAACATAATAATTACACAAAACCAGAGAAGTTAATACTTAATACTCCCCCATTTAAAAATGTAAGATATTTTTAATCAAATCTCACCCCTAAATAAAGTACTCCTTCCATTTAAAAATATAAGATATTTTTGAGAAGTTGAAAGTTTAAAAATGTAAGAAATTTTTAGTTTTTCGATGTGTAATCATTATTTTTTTTCAAAAGTGCCCCTATTGATAATGACTTTATATTTATTGTAGGGTATTTAATAGGGATAAATATGAAAAAATAGGGTTAATTTAAAAGTAGGTAACTACTTTATTAAAGAGTAAAATTCAGTTAAAAATGCCTTACATTTTTAAATGGAGGGAGTAGTTATTTCTCTTTAAATAACCCTATCTTTATATATTTACTCCTATTTAAAAATATTTTACTCTCAAATAATATAAAAAAATTTATTCAATAAGGTTATCTTTTAGAAAATGATAATGATTATACCTTAAAAATTAAAAATGTCTTATATTTTTTAATATCTAACCCTTAAAAAATTGACTTATATTTTTTTAACAAAGAGAGTGAAAATTTTATATTTTACATTGTTATTTATTAAATTATATTAAATTAAATTCATTTTGAATTTAAATTTATAGTAATTTAAATAAAATTAAATTTAAAGATTAAAAAAACATGATAACACTAATTATTATAAAAAAGACTATATTTTTTATTTGCTACATGAAAAGAACTACGGCCAGTATTTGCTAAATCTGCCAAAACAACAAAATTTGACAAAACAAACTGCATGATTCCCCTAAGCCAAACTAATCATCTAACTTGCACCATCACCAAAAAGAATAATATAAATTTCATTAATATCACTTGAATATCAAGAATTCGTCGCACTCACATTAATTTTAGTTGATCAATCATATTTAAATTGTAAAATGTAATGTTTCCTCATCAAAACTCTCGTCCTCCAAACTCACTGTTCTTGGCAATTTTGTAAATTATCGTGGCCTCTATCTCATCATTTATCTCCTTCACATTATATAGGAAAAGATCTTTTTCCTTTTTTCTTTTTTGTTTTTTTACATACAAAAGCCAAGCCCAACTTTTTCATAAATTCAGACCCATGAAAAATTGACATATCAACATGCTAATCCCTTGGATTCAAGTTCCAATTTGGTCCCCGCTTCAAAACAGTTTGTTGGATATTATTGACACCTCAATGTTAAAAAAAAAAAATTGCAAATCTAAAAAAAAAAAATTCAATTTATGCATTCCATATTTTCGTTTTTGTTTTATCTCTTCATAAATATACTATTTAATAATTTATTTAGCCAGAGTAAATTCCCTTTTTTTCCCAGAGCTTTATAAATACAATAAAAACATTTATTTTTATAAACATAAAAAATCAGATTGGAATTTTTTGCCTTTTCCAAGAAAACAACGATTTCACAGCAAAAGGAAAATTGAACTGAGATGCCACCCAAAAAAAAATCAGAGATACAGCATTGAGAAAAAGCAATGGAGAACAAGGCAATACTGAAAACTACACAAAAATATAAAGAAATCTAGCACTTAAGTTTAACTAACAAAATTCCCCCAGGGAAAGCATTACACAGTTCACTTTTTCTCCTCGCTTAACTAGAAAGCCATTTCTACAGTTCCCTTCTCAATTTTGTTCTCTGATCCTCACTTTTCCTGCTCCAATAAATATTGAAAAAAGCAAATACACATTTCCCACCAGAATGTTGCTGAAAATAATCTTACCTTCCCTTTCCTTTCTTTCCATGTCCACCACCACCCTTTCCTTTTTTCCCATCTTTACCAAATTTCTTACCCTTCTTAGTAGACTGGCTCTTCAGATATGAAAGTCTGTTGGCTTTCTTCTGCCTTTCCTTTCGAATTTGATCAAGATCTTTGATCTCTGAACGCACATGAGCATTTGGCACTGAATGCTGCTTCTTGCCGCCTTTAAATTTCCGAGGACTGCCTCGGAAGTGCCCTGAATGAAGGAAAGAAACAAGAGTCAAATGACAAGAATTCTCTCTCTCAACATTCAACTTGTCAGCCTCAGCACTTCATAATACATGTGAATGAATGGACAGACAAGATCTAATGACACCAGCATAAAATTGATTATGGCAGTACTTTGTTTTTTGACATTTACAAAATAACAATCATTGATGGAGACTTGGTAGTATGAGATACTAAGCCCCACATTGAATAGTATGGGATGCTCAATAAAGTATATAAGTAAGTTGGTTCTTCCATTTCAATAGCCAGCTTTTGGGGTAGAGTTCCCTATCCCACTTAAGTACCCATCAATTGATATCAGAGCCTTGTTGTCGGCGGTTCCGGAAAGGAATACCCATAGAGGGTTTTGACTGGAAGAAGACCGAGTTAAGTGCTGTGGAGTGCAACCGTCAGGACATCGGCTTTTCATGGGGAGCCAATTGATGGAGACTTGGTAGTATGGGATACCAAACCCCACATTGAGTAGTATGGGATGCTCAATGGAATATATAAGTGAGTTAGTTCTTCCACTTCAACAGCTAGCTTTTGGAATAAGATTCTCCATCCTACTTAGGTATCCATCACATTACCAGCATGGAATGAATGAGATGTTCATTGGGTGAATAAAGTCTTCAAATAGACCTATTCGATCAAACCAACCATGATCGAACATAGAACAGAAGCACGTGAAACATGAAATCCACAGAAATCTAATAATGTGCTGACAAGTTTACTTATGATTTTATTGGTCACCTAATATTTCCTTGACAGGATCTATGTTAAGAATATTACAAAAATAACTTGCAAAAAATGCACCAATTGTAAAAAAAACTTCAGGATTTTACTGAAATAAATCTGAAACTAAGCAATAAGTCCAATTCATTCCAAAAATAATTATGCCCTCTTGCAGTGCCCCCCCCCCACCCAAACAGACGGAATAGCCAGTAAGTACAGGTATGATTGACATACAATTTGTGGTTGACCTATATTTAATGTAAATATTATTTATTAATAAAGGGGATACTGTGAGGAGTAAAAATAGGGATTTTGTAGATATCCTATTCCCGAATATCCTCTCCTGATTCCATCTCCTGATTTCTTGGAGATTTGATCATCTTCTCACATGTATAAATCAGTGTACATACTCTGGGATTCAATAATAAGAGTTTTTCGGTCTATTTGCTACATGGTATCAGAGCAACTAGCAGATATCGACGCCGAAAACTCTGAGACAGAAAGCACCGAAGACGAGACACAAGAGTTGCACCCGATTCACACTTCTCCAATGTCGAAGAGTGATGGGTCCTCGCAAATCGATCCAGATAAGGCCGGTAGTCCCCTCGGGTCGATCACTGGTCATGACGGATCATCGGTGCTCGTGGTTACCATGAAACTCAATGGCTCGAATTATCGGGTATGGGCACAGGCTATGCGACTTGCGATTGGAGGCCGAGGGAAGATGGGTTACCTCGATGGCTCATCAAAAATTCCAGAAGAGTCCAAACGCAGGAGCTACAGCGATGGCATACCGAAAATTCGTTGGTATCATCGTGGCTGATCAATGCCATGATTCCGGAAATTCAACAGAGCTTCATATTTCTTCCATCAGCTCATGAAATCTGGAAAGCTGTGCGAGATTCATACTCTGATGGGAAGGATTTGGCGCGAATATATGAGCTTAAAACAAAAGCATGGTCACTGCAGCAGGGAGAACGTGATGTCACGGCTTTCTGGCTGGAGCTGAATACCATCTGGCAGGAATTAGACTTGATGACAGAAGTGGAATGGTCTAGCAGTAATGATGCAATCCGTTATAAGGAGCAAGTCGAGAATGAACGGGTGTTTCAGTTTCTTGCAGGACTGAATCAATCTCTAGATGATGTACGGGGGCGCGTTCTGAGCCGTATGCCACTTCCATCCACTAGAGAAGTATTCTCAGAGGTACGTCGAGAGGCTTCAAGACGCAAGGTAATGACTCCTGGAGCTATTTCTGCACCAACTTCTTCCTTGGACACTGCTGCACTTGTGAGCAAGGGCAGTGATTCAAATCATAAGAACCAAAAGGGGAAGGTCACTTGTGAACATTGCAAGAAGATTGGGCATACCCGTGACACTTGTTGGGATATACATGGAAAGCCAGCCGATTGGAAGCCGAAAAAGGGCAAGCAACGAAGTTATCAAACTTCTCATGATGTACCGCCAGATAAACCAGACTCAATACCTGAAATTGATAAGGAGCAACTAGGTAAGCTACTTGAGATGCTTAGTGTGTTGCAGAAGAATGAGAAAAACCAGAAACTGAATCCTACTGCATCTGTGGCTCACAAAGGTAAATGTGCCTTACTTACTTCTAATAGTAACCCCAAATGGATTGTTGATACTGGGGCAACTGATCATATGACCTCAAATGTTAAACTATTCAATACCTATATTCCTAGCGCTGGGAATGAAACAGTAAGTACAGCTAATGGATCTTCCTCGTCAATAGCAGGAACAGGAAGTGTGGTTATTTCTAAAGTCATGAGACTGAATCATGTTTTACATGTACCTTACTTGGCTTGTAACTTATTGTCTATAAGTAAGTTGACTAAAGAGGCAAATTGCTGGGCTCATTTCTGTTCTACTCATTGTATTTTTCAGGACCTCTTATCGGGGAAGATGATTGGCAGTGCTAAGGAGCATAACGGTCTCTACTATCTCGATGAATCAACCGTGAGTAGTCTTTGGTCTCGAATCCAGTGTCACATTGCAAATAAAGACTTTAATGATCTTATGTTATGGCATAGGAGAATGGGTCATCCAAATTTTCAATACTTATGTCGTTTGTTTCCTGAATTTCAAGTTAATAAAATTTCTTCATTTCACTGTGCTGAGTGTGAACTTGCTAAACATCACAGATCTGTGTTCAAACCTGTTGAATATAAATCTACCCGTCCTTTTTCCATTATTCATAGTGACTTATGGGGTCCTACTCGTATTGCTAATCGTACAAATACTAAATGGTTCATTACATTTATTGATGACCATACTAGAATGTGTTGGGTCTACCTATTACAAGATAAATCTGCTGTGCCCTCTGTCTTTTCTCAATTTTATACAATGGTAAAAAACCAGTTTGACACCACAATCCAAGTCCTCCATACTGACAATGGCACTGAATACTTTAATAAAACCATGGATATGTTCCTCACAGAACATGGAATTGTCCATAAAAGTACCTGTCCTAACACTCCCCAACAAAATGGTATTGCGGAACGGAAAAACAAACACCTCTTAGAAGTTGCACGTGCCTTGCTCTTCACTTATAACGTTCCCAAATATTTCTGGGGAGATGCAATTCTTACCGCTACATATTTAATCAACCGCATGCCAAGTCGTGTCCTCTCATTTACCACACCTCTTGAGAAATTAAAAGAATCTCACTCCATTACTCATCTTGACACCAACCTACCACTTAAAATTTTTGGTTGTTCCACTTATGTTCACTCCCATCACTCCCAAAAGCTGGACCCTAAAGCCATCAAATGTATCTTTCTTGGTTATTCCTCTACACAAAAAGGGTATAAATGCTTTGATCCTCATACCAAGAAACTTTACATAAGCCGAGACGTTAGCTTTGTTGAGCATGAGTCCTTTTACCCAAACACTTCAAGTCAGGGGGAGAGGGGGAGTGACTTTCAGTTTTTGGAAAGTGAAAGTGAGAGGCAAAGGGGTAAAGAAATCACCACCATTCATGATTCTGATCCCTTCATTCTTGCACCAACAAACTCTCAAATAGAGTCTGAACTCTTAAACCCACAGTCCACCGAATTCAGGGTCCAATCTCCTAGGCCAGAAACTGAAGTAAAAAGTCTTTCAGATTGCACTGAAATTGCTGGAAATGCACTGGAAAAGACACCCATAGTCTACTCTAGGAAGAAATGGCGAGAAAGGGAGACTGTTATACCTGAAGCACAACCAAAATTCGAACCACAAGAGGCTCCTGAAGCTGGGAAAGCGGAGACAGACTTACCGATAGCCCTCAGAAAACAACCCAGAACTTGTACACAGCACCCCATCCAAAGGTTTGTGAGCTATCAGACTCTATCCTCACAATTCCGCACTTTTGTAACTAACCTTGATAAAGTGAAGATTCCCAATGATGTATATGAGGCCCTTAGCATACCAGATTGGAAGAATGCTGTGATAGAGGAGATGAATGCTTTAACAAAAAATGGCACATGGGAAGTTGTAGAGCTACCAAAAGGGAAGAGGGTTGTGGGCTGCAAGTGGGTGTTCACCCCAAAATATGATGCTGCTGGTAAGTTGGACAGATTAAAGGCACGGTTAGTGGCAAAAGGGTTCACCCAAACATATGGCTTGGACTACAAAGAAACTTTTGCCCCTGTAGCCAAGCTTAATACTATCAGAATCCTAATCTCTGTGGCTGTAAATCTGGATTGGCCTCTCCAGCAGCTAGATATTAAAAACGCCTTCCTAAATGGTGACCTTAAGGAAGAAGTCTTCATGACACTACCTCCAGGTTTTGAGGCGGGAAAGAACAATCAAGTGTGTAAGCTTAAGAAATCCTTGTATGGCCTAAAACAATCACCGCGGGCTTGGTTTGACAGATTCTCGGAAGTCTTGAAGAATGAAGGATATAAGCAGGGATTGTCTGATCACACAATGTTTGTAAAAATGGAAGGTGGTAAGAGGTGTATTCTCATTGTATATGTTGATGATATAATTGTCACAGGTGACTATGAGGAAGAGGTAGATAGAGTAAAGAAGGCTCTTGGAAAGGAATTTGAAGTGAAGGATCTTGGTAACTTGAAATACTTTCTGGGCATGGAGGTTGCAAGATCACAAAAAGGGATTTATATGTCTCAAAGAAAATATGTTCTCGACTTGCTTACTGAAACAGGAATGTTGGGATGTAAACCTGTAGAGACCCCTATTGTTGTGAAGAAGAAGGGGAAGAAATTAATAAAAGATATGGAAAATCAAGAAGATGAAGTTGAACCTGAGGAAAATGATTGTGAAGAAGAAGGAGAGAAGAATGAGCCTGTGGAAAAAGAAAGATACCAGAAGCTAGTTGGGAAACTGATTTATCTCTCTCATACTCGACCAGACATAACTTTTGCAGTAAGTGTGGCAAGCCAGTATATGTGTGACCCTAGAGAAAGGCATATGGAAGCTGTATACAGAATCCTAAGGTACTTGAAGGGGACACCAGGTAAAGGATTATTGTTCAAGAAGCAAAGTCTACGATCAATAGAAATCTACACAGATGCAGATTGGGGAGGAACATACAAGGATAAGAGATCAACGTCAGGCTACTGCTCATGTGTATGGGGAAACCTAGTTTCATGGAAGAGTCAAAAGCAAAGAGTGGTCTCAAGGAGTAGTGCAGAATCAGAACTAAGGGCGTTGGCCCAAGGTATATCAGAGGTACTATGGGTAAGGCGAGTACTAGATGAGATATACGTCAAGACTGATCTTCCACTGAAGTTGTACTGTGACAACAAGGCTGCCATAAGTATGGCGCTAAATCCAGTTCAACACGAAAGATCCAAACATGTGGAGATTGATAGACATTTTATAAGGGAAAAGGTTGAAGAAGGAATTGTGTGCCTTGTCTACATACCAACAAAGCTTCAAGCTGCTGATGTACTCACCAAAGGATTACACAAGCCAGCATTTGATAGTTGTATAAGCAAATTGGACATGATTAGCATCTATGATCCAACTTGAGGGGGAGTGTGGTTGACCTATATTTAATGTAAATATTATTTATTAATAAAGGGGATACTGTGAGGAGTAAAAATAGGGATTTTGTAGATATCCTATTCCCGAATATCCTCTCCTGATTCCATCTCCTGATTTCTTGGAGATTTGATCATCTTCTCACATGTATAAATCAGTGTACATACTCTGGGATTCAATAATAAGAGTTTTTCGGTCTATTTGCTACAATTTTTGTTCTCATTTCTCCATAGAATGCATCATGACATTAGATAAATCCAGTGACTGGATGGGAAAAATGAATTACATTCCATAGAAAATCATTACTCATAACTATCATATAATGAGAGCGAGCCAGTTCATGTTACTTCTGAAAACCTGTTAAACTAGCCTGATAGTAGGTTGATGGCCTTCCAATCATTTTGTGTTATATCATTGTAATATGGACAACATTAATTGCCGTTACTCTCAGTAAGTTAGATACTGTTAGTTAAGTGATTATAGCTGTTAGGGGGCTAGGTGAGACAATATAGGAATAAAAGGCTGTATATAGGAATACCTATGTAAATCAACCTACGTTTATCCAAAATGAGAGTCATTCAGCATGTAACGAAGGAAATTCTTTATCGGGCCTTAATCGTTCAATTTTTCCCTACCCGCTTATTTATTCTGTTATGGCACAGAGGAGGATTAATCAAAATATTTTTGGGATCAAGTCTGGTTCAGTTGCTTTCATTCATTCCAGCACTGAACAGTGAACAGTAATAGACTAATAGCTAGCAGCAGTTTCAGAGATTAATGCCTATGTTTCTCTGTTTAATTCTTAGAAGTTGCACCCATCTATCGTTGTACTTGACCCTTGAGGGCAAGGGTCTCTTGGGAGGAGGGTATTGTTATATCATTGTAATATTGACAAGGCTACTTGCGGTTATTATCAGTTAGTTAGTTACTGCCAGTTTAGTGATTGTACCCGTTATGGGGTTAGGTGAGACAATATAGGAATAACAGGCTATATATAGAACTACCGATGCAAATCAACCTATGCTTATCCAAAATGAGAATTATCTAGCATATTATTCAGTAATCCTCTTGTCTCTCTGTTTTCTCTAAGATCTCTCTTCTCCTCTGTTTCCTCTCTCCTTTCCCTCTCTTCCTTTTCTTTCCATATCACAATCATCTATCATTTTACCTTCACCTCATTCCATTCCACTGGCAATTAGAAAAAGCCAATGCCCTTTCTCAGTGAAAAAGTTACAGATAATAGCCTTAAAGTAAGCTGAAAAATATTTAGGTACACTTCACAGCAATAGCTGCAATAATCCTTCCTAGGGAAACAAGGCAAGACCAGCCCATGATCCTCCTTTGTATCTATAAGGATAATAGATGATCTCCACCATACAGGAACTCAAATAAACACGGAATATTAAGAGAAGCAAATTCATACCTGCTGAACTCGTGGGCCCATGAGAATCACCTTCATTGTCCATCCCCTTAAGACCTATCTTATTGTGTGAACGTTCTTTCCACTTCTTATAGATACCAGTCTTGGTGGCCTTCACTTTTGCACCACCCTCCGTTGTTATCTATAATCATGTATAGAATATAAACATGAGGCCTCGGGTCATATAAGAAGTTAAAAATAGACATATTTTAGAGTAAATGACCAAAGATAAGAAAAGGTGTTATATAGATAAGGTACCTTTCCATTTGCAGCAACACGCTCACCATTGTTTAGCTTAATGTACTTTTTACTTTTCTGCGAATAAAATGTATTCATGAGATAAAAAGGGACATTTTGAGTACAATGACAAAATCATTAACGCACAACTGTTTCACATACCTTATCCCAATGATACACTGACTTCTGTTTCTGAATGCCAGCACTGTCATCTGCAACTAGATCGAGGACAGCTGATTCCAATCTAAAATATTAAGTCACATTAGGGTGAGCATATAAATCAGAGATAAAAGGTAGGAAAGCAATAAATCACATCTATATTGAATTCCGAACAGAACATATAGAAAAGACAGATACGTCTTCCTGCTTTTTGCTACAGAAGCAACAGAGCAATTTCCAAATGAAATAATTTTAGATGGTGGACCACAATTATGGTGGACAACAAGATCTGGGCACAACATAAGGACATGCCTCTCTAAGATAACCCCTTCCCCTTGTTGCAAAACCCAAGGACATTACTGATCAGTAGAGTAAATACCTGTTTGAAGAAAAGTCTTCTTTAGCCCTGACTGAAAGACCTGCTTCCATGTGCTGACAAAGATATCAGATCACAACATATACAGTTAGCCAACTTTAATGTAAAAACTCAAAAGTGATGCAACCACGTAATAAAATGACATAATTGTACTCGTCATCCAGAGAATGCACAGGATACAGATAGTGTGATGTACATGATTTTGGGGTATTGAACTTATGTAGTATTCCTCATCCTTGAAACTTTGTGGCTTTCTCTTAGAACCAGACACTGCTGAAGCCAAAAGAACAGGATCACATATTAATAACCTTGATATATCAGCTGGGAGTAAGAAAGTCAATTCACTGTAGTTGAAGCATCCAGCATTCAGTGAGTAAAAGCATCAACAACCTTATCAAGCGACAAAACCAGCAACTTTACTATAACTATTTTTCAGTCATTAATCAAGTCTGTTCCTACCTGTAAACAACATTTTGATTTCACGTTTTAGGCAATAAGCAATTTCAAGGTGCTTGAGGTTGATTTCAAAGAAAAAAAAAAACAAAGCACCTCTAAAGCATCTTACACCCTAGGTTTTTTCTTTTTATTTTTCTAATGATAGAAGAAAAATACCATAAAATCCTAGCTACCTTTAAAAAACCCATATTAAGATTTACGAATAGAAGGCATGGTGCATTTTCTATAATGAAAGCAGAAATCATAGTCCGAAAGAAAGGCAAACTTTGGGGGGGGGGGCGTGACTTTGACCATTCCATATTTATACAAGCCAAGAAGACCAAATATCAAACTGAAAGAAAACTAAATGACTAACACAACAGGGACAAACCTTTTTTCCCTTTTTCCGCTGGAGTGATATCCAATTGAATTTCCTCCTGCAAGGAGCCAAGAAATACATCATTCAACGAAATAAGTACTGAAAAAAAATGCAGATATAGCATTATTCCACTGATACTAATTTGTTAGTACGAGCATGAAATAATAGAGTTCACCTCCAAAGAAAAGTAGTCAAATTGTAAGAAGCACAATTACAGCATTAATCACATTCATATACCTGTTTTGTCTTATTCTTAGAACGCTGCTCATGGACTAAATTTATAACATTCTCATGAATAGCTCTTTTTTTCTTCATCACATCAACCCATTGACTAGCAGGTCCCTGCAAGAAATCATATTTTTATGCAAGACAAAACAATGAAAAAAGCCAATTATGACCGTGTGCCATTATATCAAATAATTCAGGAAGATAGATTCAAGTTGGCAGTGAATTTTCCTTGAAGATAAAGCTGGAACCCTCAGGGACCCAACAGGCAATTGATGCAGAAGATGAATTGTACTGCATCATACTAACATCCATAGACACAATGAAATGCATAGGGTTAAAAAATATAATCATCTATTTTCACGTCCAAATGTTTAACAGATTTCCAAAAAAATTCTGATCGGAAATATACAAGGTGTGTCTCAACGTATTTATACATCAAGAGAAGTCATCAAGTCATCTTTGAGAGTAGTCTTCTTATCTCAAGACATTCAATAATGCCTCTAGCATGGGAAGTACAAGCATCAAATAAACATACAAGTCTATGCCGAAGACACATGCATGCAGGAATTTCATTATAGAGCTCAAACCATACATGATTCAAGCATGTTGATTCGTAATACTTTAATAAAAATTAAGCAATAAAAGAAAACTGAAGCCCTGGATGCTAAAATGAAAGGAGAAAAATGACAATGAAGCAATTTCAAATTTTAGCAAAGACTATACAGATATTCATATCAACCCAATGAAGCATTATCTGAATAAATAGATCAAGCAGAAGTTAGAGGAAAACAATTTTAACTAATATAATGAAGTCAATGCAATGCATAGCATATTTTAAAAATGAAAACCTTAAGTTTATCTAAACAACAACTTAAATAATAAAGTTATTGAATCAGACCAGAACAAGGATTTTTAAATTGAACAAAACCATGGCATGAAGAACACAAAATTACTTGTAGATGCTTTGATTTAGCTGCTTCACCTTCAGCCTCCAAAACAGTCTGCTTTGGCCTAATAGAAAAATAATTAAAATACTGCAATTTAACAGTCAATTAAAGAAATAATCTACCCATGACTCTACTTCTCAAATATAATATTGCGCTAACCTAAAATTTTTCAAGTTCTCTGAAAAAGCAAGTGCCATTAATTCCCCTGTTTCCAATACATTCTTGAAAATTGGATGCAACCCCTCACGTGGTAAATCTTTTACTCTTCTAATAGACTCCTTTGAAGGTAAAGGTTTTGTCTTTGAGTATAAACGAAATGCATTTTGGCAGGTCTTCTGCAATGATGTTAGTTCAGCAGAAGCATCAATGGTTTCCTGAACTCTGTCTGAAACAAGGTCTAAGACTTTCTGGGGAAAACGACCATAAACAGTTTCTCCCTTTGCTATTGCCTGGTCAATTTTGGAAAATGCTCCATGAATATCCTGCAGAACCTCTTCTTCAGTTGGAGCAGCTCTGATTGGTCTTGAGAGAAACAGATGAAGATCCAAAAGATATGGCATATCCTCCGAAGTCACAAAAGAAAAGGCGGCACCAGCTCGACCTGCTCTTGCAGCCCTTCCAACTCGATGAACAAATATTTTAGGCTTGGGAGGGAAGTCCCAATTGATAACATTATCAAGTAATGGAATATCTATGCCCCGAGCAGCAACATCTGTCACAATCAATAACATTGTCTTTCTTGCCCTGAACCTTGATATATGAATCTTGCGTGCATCTTGATCCATGTCACCATAACATACAGATGGCTCAATACCCTCTTCTTTAAACAATGTGTTAAGAAATTCCACGTGATGTTTTGTGGATACAAATATTAGTGTCTGCTGATCAGAACTAATTTGCTCCCTAATCAAATACAGTAATGCTGCATATTTTTCTTCCTGCCTCAAGGTGAAAAAAGCAACCTTCAGGTCAGGGCTGATTTTAGTTTCCAAATCCAGACGAACAAGCTGAGGATCACGCAAGCCAGCCTTTGCAAATTCAGCAAGTGCACTAGGTAATGTAGCACTGAAAAGCAAGGTTTGACGGTTCTCACCTAGCTGTGTAAGAATTTGATGCAACTGCTGAGCAAAACCCATGCCGAATAAACAATCTGCCTCGTCAAAAACAACATATTCCACAGTACGCAATGACATGTCATCAACTTCAGACAAATGGTGCATGAGCCTACCAGGTGTTGCAATTATGATGTCAGGATTTTGAGCTAATTCCTCAAACTGACTTTCCATACTGTCACCCCCAACTAATAAACTAACACGAAGATCTGAAACCCAAAAAAGAAAAAAGGAACAAATCATGTCATAAAACACCACAAAGACCAACTTTTCTATGTAACGATGACAAGTTGGATGATCTAAAGAATTTAATTTTCAACGGAGAAGAAACTATTAGAATTTAAGATATAAATTATGAGTTCTGACCTGTGAAGTGGCCAAGCTCTTTGGTGAACTTCAAAGTCTGAAGCGCCAAGTCTCTAGTAGGGGACAAAATGAGAGCTCTAACACCACCCTGAGGAAGATGCTGATTCAAACGCTCAAGCATGGGGACGAGAAAGGCAGCGGTTTTACCAGACCCAGTGCGAGCCATGGCAACGACGTCGGCACCAGAAAGAATGATCGGCATCGTTTTCCTCTGAATTGGAGTGGGCACCTTGTAACCTTTGCGTTTGATTCCTCTGTACACATTGGGGCTAAGACCCAAGGACTCAAATCCGCCAGACTTGGCCTTCTTTTGTTGCTTCTCCTTCCGTTTCAACTCTGCTTTCGAACTCACGAGAAGAGTACCTTCTCCTTTCGCCATTTTTCTGAACCCCAAGTTGTAAAATCGCTAAATTCCAAATTTGAAAGAATATTGACTCTGAAAGTGAAGTGTCAATGGAAACTGAAAAGAAGAAAACTTGGAGTCGACTGGAATTTGGAATAGGAAGAGGAGAAGAAGGGTGGGTGGCTACCGAGTTTCAGGGCCGCCAGCCTCCAGGGAGAGGGGGGCGCGATGATGAGGAAGATCATTTTATTCATTCTGTTCCTTAGTTTCTTCCAAAACGTCACCGTTTAAGAACTTTTCTCTTCTTTCCCTTTTTTTTTAAATATAGGGCCACAGGAAAATATGAAAAGAATAAAAAGTCAAGTCATATAAAAAAATTAAGTCTCCATCTCAAGAGAGCTTATTGTAGATAACAATATAAAAGTTGTCCCTATGTAAGAAAATCAACATACTTATTTATTTTTCAAAAACATGATCAAACATAATAATTCAATCACTCATGACAAAATTTTTAATTTTGTTAACGGTCACAGAAAAAGGTTAATTCTTATAAATTATATTGGATGAGCGACAAAACTTTTAAAAAATCAAAGTAGATGTCAGTTCTGGTGAGTTTAGTATTTCAACAAAGTTTGATTTCCTCCAAAATATTTAAGAGTTTGGCAATTGTGATTGAATGATATCCAAGATATTTAAAAAAACTTTCAATTCAATTCTCTTAATCGTCACGTATGAGGCCTCAATAAGCAAACCTCATTAATATTAGCTAAACCATCGATGTCGAGTTGGACCCCACCTACTTCAAGGGGTCTCATTTAACTTTAGATCTTTCACTTCCTTTTACTTAGATTAGTTGTAAGCTGGAGTTTGAGATCATTTAAAATTTATTGGGTGGAGTAAAAAACAATGTCAATTTTTGATGATTTTTTTCAATAAGCTGCATCTGCTTTTTCAAATGTTCCAAATGACTTGAGCAAAGAGTTTTTACTAAGGTATTTTTCCTATTTTTGAGTTTCTAGTATCACTTTTTACATTTTAAATTTTTCAATCCTACAAACATAGGGAGAAGAAAGTGTTAATCTTAAAAAACTTTTTCCCCCTTTTGCTAGATGATGATACTGGAGCTCGAAATTTGGAATTGGATAAGCAGCGTGCTCATCACCCATAATCTCAACCCTTCGTTTCTTTTTAAATGACTCTACCATTAACTTAAAATTATTTTTTAAATATTATTATATTATATTTATTAAAATACAAATTATAATATTAAATTTAGACTATCTAAAGTATATCTAGATGGTCAATTAATTAAAATAAAAAATTAATATTAAATTAAACCTTTCAGATTATTTTTGTAATGTCCTAAATACATTTACATAGTCAATTTATAAAAATTATTTAAAAATTAATATTAAACTAGATCATTTAAATTATGGACCAATTTGTTTAAGATTAAAAAATAAGCAATTTTTATATACTTTAAAGATTTTATGAAAATAATTTATTTTATAGAGATTTTAAAAAATAAAAAATTATTTTGTGTTTGGTTAAAATCACACAAAATCACTTTTTTATAAAATTCTTCCATCCATTTGAATTAAAATGTGTATTTGTATTTAGCATATTCTTTGCAAGTATCCCTTCAACAATTTTAAAAAATATTTCAGTGTTTTTTTATCATTCTCTCCGCACTTCTTTTGATACACAGATGTCTTGCATTTTCATTCCAAAAAAAACCTCTAAAAAAAGCCAAACTTCAAAGGTAAAAAGAAAGGTAGAAAAACCCACTCAGCCACTTTCATCACAGGAAATTGCATGGGTTTAGATTTGTGAAAGAGCAACCAGAGCAACCATCCATTAAAATATATAAAGTCATTAAAATATTTTTTTATATTCTAATTATTTTTAAAATTTTAAACAAACACCTAAAAACTTATTAAAAGTGATTATTTTTATAAAAAAAAGCTCTTTCTTAGTAAAAAAAAAAAAAACTAAAACAAACAACTCCTAAATCTATACTTGCCAGATTGGTGATAAATACATTTATTAAATATTTTTATATTTTTTACATATTTTTATTTTAATAAATATAAAATAAAAAACTTAAATTTAAACTATCCATATCTTGTTAGAAGTGATGAGTATGATGATATTTATCCTTTAGTAAGCATAAAAAGTAATCCATATTTAATATTATAATTTTTATATATTTTTATTTTGATAAATATAATATAAAAATATGTAAAAAAGATAATGAAAAATGAACGTAGGTAAGACAGACCAACAAGAAAAAAAATCTTATCAATTGTTCTTAACCATGGTAACTTAGAAAGACAATGAGCTGAGTGAATGCTTGAACAGAGAAGGAAGATGCCATCTTCTGCTTTTCTTCACTCTGGTTGCACAAAGACAGAAAAGAAACCGTGGCATCATTCTTCTCCCTATGCTCATCTAAATTTTTCAAGTTTTTTAATTTTATCTTTTCAAAACAACCCCTGCTATGCACACTTCACAATGCATGTTATTACCTTTATGATTTTTCTTTCTTTATTTATTACCTTAACTAGATAGGTAGCAGTAGTAAGAAGATAAATTAATCAATGTTATTAAAACCAAACCTAATTGAACGGTACAACAAATTGAATTGGGAATCAATCCTGAGTATGGTCCGGTCACCATAAAAAATTAGGAAATTTAAGAACTAGCCAAATCAGCCTCAAATTGGCTAAGAACCTATTGAGCCAATCATATTATTTTTTAATTTCTAATTTATATTTTTAAATTATAATTTATACTTATTTATACATAATAAGCATTATGAAATGAAAAAAATGTAAGAAATGTATATGAATTATATATGTATGTATATATTTCAAAGTTATAGATTACAAATTATATATATATATATATATATATCTTAGATGAGAATGATGTAATATTGACGGATATTACTCTTTTTTATTGTATATTATTTTATTTAAAATTTAAATATTTATTTTTGTTATTATATATAATTATTTTATCTTACTTTGAATATTTAATATTTAAAATATATTAATTTATTTATGATTAGTTATGAACCATGAAACAGTACTTTAATAATTCAATGATTGGTTTAGTTTTCATAACATTAGAAAACAACCTATAAAGACTTAGAAAAACCTTTTGACTCTGAATGTTTAAATTATAAAAAATTTTCCTTATTTTTTATTTTATATAAAATAATTACTGTTATATATATATATATATATCCTTTATAGTTTACATATTTCTATTTAATAAAACATTACTTTTAGTTTAATATTAATTAATATTTAAAATTTAAAATATATTAAAATATTTAATATAATCAAATCGATTCAACGGTCTGATCATTAATTCTTAAATTAACATTTCTTCTGGTTCAATGGTCAATCCCGTTTTTAAAACCTTGGCTCAATGTGATGATTAAAGTCCTTGTTAATGTCTTACTCATGTGGAGGCGTTCATTCAAAGCTCTGCAAGCAGTGAGCACTCTGACGCGCATCTTGCACGTGAGCTTCTAACACTCACCGAGTTCGATGAAAAAGGGGAAAAGGGATCAATCAACGGGACAAGCATGGTGGGAAAAGAAGGTAGGAATCAGAAATCAGAAGCTTCAAGCAAATATCATGAGCTATTTATAATTCTGTGACATCAGCGAATGAAGAGCAAGCCTGCGTGTAGCGACAAACGGACGAAGGCTTGCAAACGGGGAGAGGGAGATTCACGTTGCTGACGAGAAGAGTGAAGAAGGCGACGAAGAACCTAAGCCAGTCCAACGCCCCAACTATCCAAACAGTCTAATTAGCCTGACCAAACCATTCCCAATGTGACAGTTAATAGTAGTAAGGGTTTTCTTCACTTGAGCAAGTAGTTGGAATTCAAATCTTAATATTTATATATATATATATATATAAAGCAATATAGTTAAGAGAGGTTTATCATTTGCTTTCTTCATCTCAAGGGAGATAATTTCTGTTGTTAACGCAATTTACTCCTTATATTATAAAAAAAAACAAAGAAAAGAATCACACTTGCAGGTTACTGAGCTACATAATCATGGACGTCTAGATTGAACTCTTTCAACTCAACTTCAATTGAAAATTATTAACTATTAGATAGATTGCAACTTTTTTTCTTGGTGTGAAACCATTCGGTGTCTAAAGCCAACATTCTCGATTAATCCAAATTTGAGCTGGGCTAGGCTCAAATAAGGGGTAACTCTCTCAAGTATATTTTCTCCATTTATATCAAATCCGAGAATTGATGGTTAAGAGAATTTAAACATCTTGCCATTTATGCCAATGTGCGCTGATAGATAGGTTGTGTCTTAAAAAAAAGGAAAATATGTTATATTAAAATAAAAGGATTAAAATATGATAATATTGTGACAGAATTAAAGTGAAAAACTATAATTTAAAAAGAAATAATCCTCATGTAAAATGTTGATGTCAAAGTCAAGAAAACAATCAAGTGGGGAAGAAATATTCTTGCTTTTTTTTTTGAATTAAATGCCACAGATGCACCATGCTAATTGATAATATGAGTCATATCAGCGTATAAAAGATTACAACAACCAAACAGCGAGCTATCGTATATACGAACATATAAATTATTGGAATAGGTTTGATAAGATAACCAATTTGTACATTTGTTAGCCTTCTTGAAAACGTAATCGAACGTGATTGTCTATTCTCATATGGTGAGATCTCTAATTTTATTGATTGTTTTAAATAGAGGATGGGTAGTAGAAAACTCGTTCTGGATTGGTAAGAGCTTCTACAGAGTTACTGTAGATATTAATTTTATCAAACTTATTAACCCAGTAAATATTTAAACCTTCAACGGTGCCCATAAGCTCAGCTGCTATAATAGGATAATAACCAAAGTATTTGGAGTAATCTTTAATTAAATTACCTTGATTGTTTTGGACAAGACCTCCACATTCATTGTTACATGGTGAATACAGTTGAGCTTAAAGAAAGTTGAAAGGAGGTTATAATTTGTGTGAAAATTGGAGATCTATCATAAAACTAAAGAGAAGCAAATGAGATAAAAAAAAATTGAAACATCTCATATTTAACGCAACAAAGAATTTGTTTTTCACCCCTAGGCTATGTATTTTGAAAAAAAAATTGTAATTATTGTGACAGCAAATTTTTAATTTTTAGTCGCAATATTTCAATCAATTCTCCTTAGTGAAATTTCAAAGATATATTTTTGACGGCCATAGATTTACTAATAATAAAAAATGATATCAATCATCAATCTATATCGTTAGTATCGTCAACACCATCAAATTAAATATAAATTGTGTAAAAAAAGTTTTAAAAGATGGTTTAAGAATTTAGTTAATTATTAAATTATAAATATGCTCCCGATCTGTTATACATTGCTTCATTAGTTTAGTCATATTAAAATTATAAATTATAAATATGCTGTTTATTCATATTAAAATTAATTATTTTTAATTATTTATTTTCATATATAAACTCTATAGCTAAAATTAAAATTATGATATAATCATAATACCAAAAATCTTAGTAAAAACATACTTTTTTTCATTATTAATCTTCCCTGAAGCTAAAGTTAAAAAACTCGTGAGGAAAAATTAATTTGTTAATTCTTATAAATACTTTACCTTAATTTTTAAATTAGTCCCCATATTTTAAATTTTGTAATCAAATCTTAGCAAATCCATCAATAAAAAGTTGCTCCTCAATGTATCCCAGAAAAAAAGTTACTCCTCAATCTTTGCTTTCATTTGTAATTAAGTCATCGTTTTGTCCACCTCACATAGCAAAGTAAAGGAAAAAGAAAAAAATCATTGTATAAAATCCAGGTCAATTTATCCGATTAAATTAGTAAATCATCAAACTAATTTTTTGATCAGCTCAATAAAATATTTTATTTATGATCAGTTTGATCATGATTCAATTTTGACTATTAATAATTAAATTAATACTTTAATCGATTCAATAATTTATCTGATGTTCAGTACTTAAAAAAATGATATATGTGTGTGTTTGTGTGGGATGGAAATACTAAGATCAAATAATTACTTTTTCAAAAACATAATTATATATGATTAAACAATTTATGTCGCTTATCATCGCAAGATACAAATCTAATATACACACACACACAATAAAACAAAATCTTTTGTTATTGTTCACTTGTCTATGCCTAAATTTAGATATAGTGCATCATACAAGTTTAAAGTTGTTAGTCGAGAATAATTTTGTCGTTAATGATTACTAGTAATACAATAAGGTAACAACTAACAACCACCCTTAATAATATTTTCATCCTAAAAATATCAATATTTCAATAACTGCTCGGACAATCAAATGAAATAAGTGATATATAGATCAATCTGAATCTTGTGTGTGTGTGTGTGTATTTAGAATTAGAATCTCGTTTATCCTTTATATATTTTTTGCATTTGTATTCTCGTTAATATTCACCTCGAAATCAAGAATCTCATACTTGATTATCAAAAAAAGAATCTCATACGTTCAGATCACGTGACTAACTATATTATAATTAAGATTTAAATTAAATCAAATATTCAAATTTATATAAAGTATCTGATCGTCTAATACCTGCATTCTGTCACCTCTATTATTGAACAGAAATTTTTTGCTCTTTGAACCAGATATATTCTCCAAACTCGTGAGTTTTTCATCAAATTTGATCATCTTTCATTCCTGCATATTAGTTTAATTACTCTTCTTAATCACAATCGGAATGAGTTTTAGCTATGGTCTCAATGTATCATGTTTCTAATTATTGATTGAAATATTTATCTATGGTCTTTAATTTCTTCACCAAAGACTACTATATATTATTAATGTAGTTCCCAATTCCACAAAACCGATTTTTTTTTTTTTTCAATTCTGGCCACTCTGTTAGCTATATTTTGATCGGTTATAATCATATTACTTGTTAGATATAATATATATGAATTAGCACGGTTTTTGTGTGTCACATTGAACTTCTAGTTTTTTTCAAGGGTATACATGTTGTATATGATAGTGAAAGTTGACTAGTCAAGGATTGATTTGGCTTAACTAGATTTATCGAATTCGAATTCTTCAAAGAAATGCCTATAATTGCCAAATGTATTAATCTAGACCAAAAATTTGGGATACTATTTGAAGGTTATTGTTAACTTGTCGTGCTCCTTAATGCAGAGCTAAGACCTTTTGATTAGGAGTATAAAATTTCAAAACTGAAGGCAAGGGAAAAAAAAAGGTGCATTGCCATGTGATGGCCTTATTTTGTACATTTTTTTCATTAAAAAAAAAACACCACCAAATATAGTGCAAGTAGTTCAAATTAACAAGAATATGAATGTAAAATGTTAAAACTTTTAAGTTGATAATTTTTCTCAAATAAGGGCATGTATGACCCAAATAGAAATACTCAAATAATACTAGTTTTAATGAATATTTGTGATAGAAAGTTCGCGATTGCTTAACTTAACTCTAAGATTCAAATCTTTCGTGAAACAAAAAATAGAAATCCTTAACCTCTTTTTCATGGTTATAAACTTATAATGCCAAAACTTAAGAAGGTTGTCTTTATTTTGATCCTTACTAAATTTACCCCCTCGTGACTTTACAATGTCATTGACGGTTATATTAAATCTTTAAAATCCAATTTATTTAATTTTTTTATAGTGAAAGTTGGCATAGATTAATTATTATCTTTCTTGTTTCATTTTTTTTTTTCAGAAAAAGATGTTAAGATGTTTGGTGACACTTCTCTACTTATTAGTTATTGTTAGGGCAACAGTAAATACAGATTACCTAAACCCCCATTTACCAATCCCAGCAAGAATCAACAAATTGTTGTCAAAAATGACATTATCAGAGAAAATTGGACAAATGGTCCAAATAGATAGATATGTAGCGTCACCTAAAGTCATAAAACAATATAAAATAGGTAGCGTTTTGAGCGGGGGAGGAAGCGTTCCGTCGCCAAAAGCGACACCACAAGAATGGGTTGAGATGGTGAATGGGTTTCAAAAAGGTGCACTCTCAACAAGGCTGAAGATTCCTATACTTTATGGGATTGATGCTGTTCATGGACACAATAATGTTTATAAGGCCACTATTTTTCCTCACAATATTGGCCTTGGAGCTACCAGGTATATTGTTTTATTTTATTGTTGATGTGGATTAATTTCGATGACTTTAATATCCAATACTTCTCCAATAAAAAATATAAAATATTTTTAATTAAATCTCACTTACAATAAAGTAGTTATTTATCTTCAAATTAATATCGTCTTTTTATATTTACTCTTATTTAATAAGGTATTTCGTTCTAAAATATATATAAAGTGATTCATTAATTAGAGGCATTTAAAAAAAGACAATGATTATATTTTAAAATACTAAAAATATCTTATATTTTTAAACATCCAACTCTTCAAAAAATAACTTATATTTTTTTAATGGAGGAGTATTTAATTAAAAATTTAAAAATGTTACAGTATATGCATGATTTTGGAGTTTAAGATTGTTAATAATTAATCGATTGATTAACAGATCAAGCTCTCTCTTTTATGATTATCTTATTCTAAATATATATATATATATATATATGCTGTAAATTGGAAAGAGCAGGATTTTGCATGAAGATTATGCATAAATAGTTTTTTTTTTTTTTGTATTCTTCATTTCAATTTGTTTTGTTTGACAAATACTCATGCATCACATGGTTACTTCCTTTCCCTTTTTTTTAAAAAAAAATTGTGATTGTTTGGTATTAACATAATTATATATTTTACCTTTAAGTCTTTGACTTAACAAAATAATGTTTTAAAAAATGCACATTCCCTTAAATTTTCACATAAAAAAGAAATTAGATTATATGACAAAATTCTTAGTCTTGCCGTGTGAGTTTAACAATTATTTTTAACATTAATTTTTTCCCTGCAATCATTTAACAAAAAAAATGTTTTTATAATTAACACAGATTTTAAAAATATTAAAAATTATATACAATATATTTGAAGAAAATGAAGAAAAACATCTATATATCTATATATGTGATTATAAAATATATTTAGCCCACACTTGCTTTAAATCAAATTAAGATAAGACATGCAAATTTTTATATATTAGTTATTTATAATAAATTTTTATTATTAATATTCTAAAATTTACTTGTCTAATCAAATTAGACAAATTCAGGTAAAAAAAAATTGATTGAAATTGAAATATATGAATTTCATAATTGCAGGGATCCTGATCTTGTGAAGAGAATTGGAAATGCAACCGCGCTCGAGGTGAGAGCTACAGGAATCAACTACGTTTTCGCGCCCTGCATTGCGGTAAGCGAATTCTATTCTCTTCTATTCTCAAACTAAACAATCTTCGAATTTCTCTATGCTTTCGATTTCCTGATGATCTTCCATATACGGCGAGTTTCAGAAATTTTGATCCCAAAAGAGTTCCTCTTTTCTTTTTCATTTTGGTTGTTTCTTCGTTTCCTCGTAAAAAAAAAAAAAAAGGTTTGCAGAGATCCTCGATGGGGAAGGTGTTACGAAAGCTACAGCGAGGATCCCGAGATTGTGAAGAACATGACAGATATCATTTTAGGGCTTCAGGGAGAAATTCCTCCTGGTTTTCCCAAGGCCGTTCCTCATGTTGGTGGACAGTATGTGATACGATTTAATTATATGCTTTTTTTTTCCTCTCTTAACTAATAGATTCAATTTTCAAGGACTTGAATATTATATGCTGAAGAATTGTTTAATAAATATCAATCATTTATTGACATATCTGAATGTAATTAACGTGTTTTTGAATTTTTTGGGGGGGGTGTTGTGGGAAAAAGAAAGGGGAAAATCGCATTGAAGGAGCACCGAAGACGTTTAATTATAAAAAAGTGTCAAATAATTTTGAAATTGCTCTCAAATCCCTACGTAACATCTGACAAAAGATTGAATGCAAAAAGGACGAAAATGACCCTGCTTGTTATTTTCCACTATTATGCTTGTTGCTCACCTGCATACTTGTCAAAACAATAATACTCTTGTGATTCTCTAGCTATCATCATACTTGCTAGTTACAGTTGTTATTTTGGACATTCGTGCTTGTTAAAGCATCATGGTTACTTTTCATTTTCCATATTCATACTTATAAAAACAATACACTCACTTGTTATTTTTACCATGATGCTTGTTAAAACATTACATTTTTTATTTTTCCATGCTTGTAAGAAGTTGTGATTACTTTGTCATTTTTCACATGTATGCTTGTCGTAATAATACACTCACATGTTATTTTTCGCTACAATGTTCGATAAAATATTACATTTGGTATTTCTCAAATTGGTGCTTGTTAAACTGTTATGTTACTTGTCATTTTTTATATGCATGCTTGTCATTTAGAAGGGTTATTTTTGTCTTTTCTCATTCACTCCTTGTCAGCTGTCACATTAGGGAATTCAGAGCAATTTCAGAATATTTTGATCTTTTTTTTTTTTGTAATTAATGGTCTACAAAATTCCTTCAATGCAATTTTCCCAAAAAGAAATGAAGCATAGTACAGACTAAGCCGTACTGTAAATATGCAATGGTTCATGAAAATTGAAGTATAGCGTCTAACCAATACATATATTGGCTTGATTTATTTGTGAAAAAATTAATTATTTGGTTATTGTAATTTTAACTCAATTACAACTCAATTTTTAAATTTTAACTCGTTATAATTCAATCATTAAAATTTTGACTCTATTGTAACTTCCTAAAGTTTGATTGTTTTAGTCCTTGTATTTTTTTTGGTAGAAGTCTTTGTATTTTTTTAATTGTTTAAATATTAATCCCTATATATTAAAAAATAAAATTATGAAGATTAAAATTATTTTAAAATTTATTACTAATATTTTAAGTTATTAAACCTTTTTTAATCTTTTTAAATATTATAAATATTAAAAGTTTAAAATATCTTTAATTTTTATAATTTTATTTTTTAAAATATAGGAATTAATATTTAAGTGTTTGAAACTATAAGGACTGAGTTGTAATAAATAAAGTTTAGGAATTGAATAACAACCAAATTAAAGATATAAGAATTGAGTTACAATGAGTTAAAGTTTAAAAAATTGAGTTATAATTGAATCAAAATTATAAAGACTAAGCGATTAATTTTTTCTTTTTTTTCATTAGGGAATTAGGGTTTTTTGTTTTCCACTTTTACTCCTGGTGTTTGAATGTTAGTTTTCAATATCCTAAGAAGTCATTTACGTTATTTATTATTATTTGTATTTTGGATTTTTGGCTATATTGTTTGTAATCTTCTGTATGATGGGAAGATTTAGATAAAATTATATGCACAAATATATATATATATATATATATATTTGCAACTGACCATGTTCTTATCATTGAATTTTGTTTCTTTTGCTTAATAGGAAGAAGGTTGCAGCTTGTGCAAAACACTTCGTTGGTGATGGTGGCACTCAACGTGGAATCGATGAGGGCAATACAGTGATAGATTGGGACACATTGCTGAGAATTCACATGCCTGGTTATGTCGAAGCCATTCAAAAGGGTGTGTCCACAATCATGGTTTCCTACTCAAGCTTGAATGGACTCAAGATGCATGCTAATCATGATCTTGCTACTAATTATCTCAAGAACACTCTTAATTTCAAGGTATTATCATTTCTCTGACTCCTTTAAGGGTAGAAGGAAACATACAGGTGTTTGCAATATTAATCATATCACTAGTGTATCCAAATAAATTTCTTCTGATAAATTTGCAGGGATTTGTCATCTCTGATTGGGAAGCTCTTGATAGGATCACTGATCCTCCTCATGCAAATTACACGTACTCAGTTTTAGAAGGGATTAATGCTGGAATCGACATGGTAAGTGGAAATTCAGAAGCTCAGTGGCATTCAGACGTAATAATGTGGTTAAGAGATGTATGCTTTCAAGTCTGACCTTCATCTCATTTTTCAGGTCATGGTTCCGTATAACTACACAGAGTTCATCAACACTCTGACTTATCTTGTCAAGAATAATTGCATTCCCATGAGCCGTATTGATGATGCTGTTAGCAGAATATTGGGAGTAAAGTTTCATATGGGCCTTTTTGAGAAACCGATGGCTGATTATAGTCTTGCCTCCAACCTAGGAAAAGATGTTAGTTTCTGCATTTTTTTTCTATAGAATTTCTTCAGGTGTTTGTTATCTAATTCACCAATTAATACACAATAACATAAGATACCTTCTTGAATTATCATACCCACTCATTATGATTGTACATGAAGATCTGATGAGAACACCTAACATCTTTACTACAATACTTGTTTTAAACACTTATTTTACATTACATCAACAGGATCATAGAGAATTAGCAAGAGAAGCTGTGAGGAAGTCTTTAGTACTCTTGAAGAATGGCGAGGATGCAGATAGTCCTATCTTGCCTCTTCCTAAAAAGGGAGCTAAGATTTTGGTTACAGGTAGTCATGCTAATAACTTGGGTTATCAATGTGGTGGCTGGACCATTACTTGGCAGGGACAAAGTGGCAATAACATTACCGAGGGTATGTTCTTACTCTAATTTAATCAGTAAGATTTAATTGAACTTTTAGTCCCTTTAATTTACTCACTGAGGTAGTTTAGCCCTCTAATTCAATTTATTAGAGCTATTTAGTCCTTCCAATTTAATCTAATGCAATATAATGATTATAATCTATCTAATTATATACTCATCTCAATCTTATTTATAAGATAGAAAGAGAATTTTTTTTATCATATCTATGAGTTACATCATTAAATTTTTATCTCAAATTTTTCATTTTACTTTTCATTAAATGCTGGTGAAAGAAAATGTGTATATTTAACAGGGGCAAAGTTAAAAACTTATTAAATTTTTAGATATAATTAATGAATTTTAAGGTTTTTTTTTGTTCCAATAAAAAATATTGGAAATATCTTATAAACAGTACTAGAAGAATAAACAATAGTTAGATTTTCTTAACTCCTCAAAAGCAAAAATGTTAGCCCCTCATGAATCCCAAAAAAGAAGAAGAAGAACAGTTCTTGATGCAATGTTGGTCTACTTGGAATTATGTATTAAATGGAGCTTTAATTAATAATGTGGGAGGACAATATCCATTTAATTGAAACTAGAAGATAGATTTAATTTGCTTTCTTGAAACCTATATGAAACACCATTTCTTGTTTGATATAAATTTCAAACTTGTACCAAGAAAAATTTCTCTTCTGAAGCATATTGACATTTCATAACAAGATTTACTCCTGGTTTGGCAAACAGGGACCACAGTTCTCCAGGGAGTTATGAACACAATTCACTCTAGTACCAAAGTATTCTTCAACGAGAGCGCGAATGCAGACTTTGTTAAGCAAAATAAGTTTGATTACGCCATTCTTGTTGTTGGTGAGAAGCCATATGCAGAGATTGCAGGAGACAGCAGAAACTTGACTATTGCAGATCCTGGAGGCAGTGTGATCATTGATACCTGCCTCAACACTAAGTGTGTTGTGGTAGTAATTTCAGGGAGGCCAGTGGTGATTCAACCTTTTGTAAGGTTTGCAAATGCCATTGTTGCTGCTTGGCTTCCAGGAACTGAAGGCCAAGGAATTGCTGATGTTCTGTTCGGTGATTATGGTTTTACTGGGAAGCTGCCACAGACTTGGTTTAAGAGTCCCGATCAATTGCCCATGAATGTTGGTGATCCTCATTATGATCCTCTATTCCCATTTGGGTTTGGTCTTGAAACTCAACCAGTCCAAAGTTATTAGGAGGGAAAATATCAACGAAAGATCGTTAAAATGATTTAATATTGAATAAGAATTTTGATAGATTGGATACTTACCAAAATTTGCACTTTCACTTATTAATTGTTAATGTTTATTTATTACAAGTTCGTATCTAATATTAAGTCATTTTAGAAGTCCTTCATTGATCTTCTCCCAAGTTAGTTAGTCTTAGAATAGAATGGATTTGATATGTATGCAGATTTTTTGTAGGTTTTTTTCCCTTTGGCCAAAAAATTTTTGGTTTTTTTTTAGGATTATCTGTAGTTTATTTTTTCTAGTGTTTGGTAGGGGTTTTTTTTTTTTTTTTGGTAGGTTTAGAAATTAGGTTTTTGTGGAAAGCTTTCTTACTCGAGAGTGAGGAAAGATTAGGATTTATTTAGGAAAAATTGAGTGGCCAAGAGAAGTAAAATTTCTTATATTGGAAATGATATATTTTTAATGGCGAAAATTAAGTTGTTGGTTCTCATAATTTACACCAATTTTCAATCAAGCTTATATAATTTAAAAAATTTTTAATCCATCCCTAATATTATATTTGATTGCAAAAAGTCCAATTTTATATTTTCATCGGTTAGAAATTTAATCCGTAAGTTGATGAAGGTTAAGGGTGTTAGCTAATATGGCAAGTCAAATATAATGCTATTTTATATTTGGTGAAATGTTTTATAACACTTGATAAGATTAAAATTAATTCATTTAACCCAAAAAAAAAAAATCTTTCCTAAAAACATGAAATGTTCATATAAATTTTACTAGATTAATAAAAAAGAAACAATTTCAATGTTACCTTCATTATTTGGCTTACAAGAGCATGAAATTGTAGCAGTAAGGATGAAGATATTAAAATAGATGTGTTCATTTTACCAAAAAAAAATAAAATAAAAAAAATGGATGTGTTCATATAAAAAAATATGGTAATGATCATACATGGAAGAGATCAATGGATACACTAATTAGGAAGGGTAAGGGATAACCTCATAAAAAAAAAAAAAAAAGGAAACCGAATAAATTCATGAACCGAAACTTTTTGTTGTTTTTTAATAGGGCCATGTCATATTTTCAAGTTCAAAAAATGTTTATAAAATTTATACATTACTCATCAATAAAATCTGTGTTGGCAATAGGATTTAATCCCACCAATAGAACTTCTAGTTGATGATTTATAAGAAAAGTTGTTTTACTCAACCCAACCCAACTATTATTGGTAAAATTTTGATTTTAATATTATATATATATATATAACCTTTACTTTTATTTTTTGTGAACTCTAGGGTTAACTTGAATTTCCGTTGTAATTCTTAAATGAAGCTCATTAGTTTTTTTTTTTTTGGGCCACATGAAGCTCGATCGTCATTTCTAGTTTTTTTTGTAATTTTAAAATAAAAACAAAATAAATTAATCACTGGCCATGTGGGAAAAAAAATACCGATTAGATTTGTGCTGGACAACATATCACTGATCTGGCAATAATTACTACTTTTCCAAAAGTAATAATTACAATTTTCTCTTGGGATTCTACAAATTGTAAAAATCATGACAGCCATAGACGACATCAATTGGATCTATGCACGTTGCGTCGGTAGTTTCATCACACTTCTGTTTTATCAATGCATGAAAAAATAAAATGCATGAATTCAAACAAACCACAATAATCAAATAGATTTATCTGACACCATTAATAATTCAAATATAATTTAGGGTAAAAGAAATACTCCAATTCAAGACACCTTCAGAGATATTTTATCATCTCAAAATACATGATAATTTTATAATTTAATAAAAATAAAATTTTATTAATAATATTTTTTTAATATTATCCTTCAAGTAAAAATAGAAATTGAAATGATTGTAATGTCATGATTAAATATGGAAGGATACTTTAAGAAGTTTACAGGTTTATTTTTTAAAAAATAAATTTGTAAAGATAATTATAATGCTTTGGGTATATATAATCTTATCTTATTGCTTTATAATTTGGGATGAAATAATTGTACAAACACTGATTTCAATTTTAAATTCAGTCACTATATTTTATTTTACTTTAATCAAGTTTTTATAATTTAATTCATTAAATATTTTAATCCGATTAAAATTCTTTAACTTTTCTCTTAAGAGCATTTGTATTTTCAAGAAAAGATTATATAACTTCATAACATACTTTTGACCATCATATATAACTTTACAATTAAGTAAATAATTTTTATAACTCAATTTATTAGGCTATATCTTTTAAATTTTCGATACATAAAGAATTTTCATAAAAATGTGAACATTGTATTAAATCACTTTTTTTTTAAAATTTTTGGTCAAAAGTATTAAATCAAATTTTTTTATAAACTTCAAAAACAAAATAATTTCTTTTGAGAAAGTTAATTATTTATTACTAATTTTAACCTTCAAGGATTAACATATCTAATTAATCAAACTGCTTGATTAAAACAAAATAAATTATAATCTAACTTAAAATTGAAGAAAAATTATAAGGAGCTGGGGATTAAATTTTCTAAAACAAATCAAATAGTATTCAAGTTTTTCCCCGTCATGGCTACAGGATAACATAAACAAACTAAAAGGGGTATAGGTACCAAGAAAAGCAACTTCTGGGTTTATTCCATGCCCTACACAGACAAAAACGTTAGAGCATGAACACAAATAAACCATTATAATCAAATAAATCATATCCAACACCATTAAAAATTCAAGTAGAAATCGGAGTAAGAAATATAATTTGTACAGAAAATGATTTCCTTCATCAATATCAAACAGTATTCCAATTTTTCCCCAAGGGTAGCTACAAGATGTCTGCCTAATAGACTAATATAATGACAAATAAACAAATTTTGGAGCATATACAGAAATATATATATATATATATATATAAGAAGATAAAAGTAACTTCTGGGTTATTCTAGGACCTATGCAAGCATCAGATCAGTCAATACATATCGTACAAACCAAGTGCCGGTTCATGAATTTGAATGAACTGGGATCTACTTTACATCAGCCTCGGTGGAATCCATACTCTGATTCAAGTAATTCTGTATCAGATATTCATTGGAATCAGAAGCACCTGACAACAAAAATAGCACCTCAGAGTATGTATAATAGAGGCAAATCTTACATGCATACATACACATATATGCATTGATACAAGTATCTGATGCAAACATATATATATATATATACACATGTATACTCTTTGATTTATATTATAAAACATCTCTAATTACCTTATTGGAAATAAGAAAATGTGGTTAAGTTGTTAACTTTGTCTAAATTTAATAAACTTCTAATTTTACCCTAATTTAAATTAATTTTTTAAAATTTCCATTACATTATCTCTTATAGTTAATGAATTTAAATAAAGGAAATACAGAAAAAAAAAGAGTAATTAATGCCCTATCAAATGCCTTATGTTAAAAATTAAAGAATCCTTTTAGACCCTATAATAACAGCCAGATGTCTTTTCTGCATTGTGCCTGCTAGTTTGATCCATCTAGGTCTAGCAGAATACCACCCAACACCCAAATCAGACGTCTAACAAAAGAAAAGCGACTTGAAAACTTTTGATGGTTCTCTGACCTCATTCAGCATTGTGAGTCTGGTCGTGCTCAATAAACTCTAGCGCGTCTTCCTTGGACACGAGATTGACACGGCTGACCCTGTTCTTATGTGTCACTCCATATATCTGGTCAGCCACTTTCACAAGCTCTGGTCGGAATGTTGTTGTAATAAATTGAGTGTTAGCAAGGTCAGCCAAGCGTCGAATCATATCTGCTCAAGTTAAGAAATCCAAAAGGCACAATAGGAATATAAGATGCGAGAACCGAAATGCTGCTAAAAATATAGTAGAAGGCCCTACTTGTCTCTAATGCAATGTGTTATATAAATTCTTCAAGTATCAGTGTCAGCTCACAACTCAATGAATTTAATTCCAATCACTTTTCCATTTGAAATTGAACTTATCTTTAATTTACAAGTTTACTAATATAGATAAACCCACAGCCTTCATGACTTTCATGAACCAACAAAAGCTTGATTGGAAATAAATGTCAAACCCTAACCCAAAAAAAAAAAAAAAAATTATTAGCATGCAAAACACCTTTAAGGCGATTCCAGAGTCAAGAACCGCTATAATGTAGGTTAAAGAAATGGAGAAAACTTAAATGGATAAGGTACATTGATCCAGCTACATTAGAACTAGTCAATTTTAAATTTTAAAATTAAAATTAACATACCAATAATTAGTGCCAGGATAGGTGGTGTTCAAAAAAAAAAAAATTCCACCTATTATAATCTATCTATATATAATATAAAAATTCTATTAAGTCGCACTATTTATGAACCATGACTAGCTAGGCTAATTTCTCAAAACTCGGTGCAACACATAGGACCTTCACTAGTTTGATTGGAAAATGATACCTTAAATTTCTTAAATAAAATCACAACCCTAGAGGCCTTAATTATGAATCCTAAATAACAACTCAACCTAAAAGCTGAAACAGATAAAGAAGGGAGAGCCAAAGAAAATACTACAAAATTGTTGGCATGGAGTGTGAACAAAGCACAAAACAACCATTTCGGCCAAATATAACATTAGGGAGTAAGTAGTGAACTCTGGAGACTATGTCCAAGGGCACAATGTAATATGGCATTATATATTTAGATGTTTGATCATAACTTATGGAATTTGCAAAAAAGACAATGCAAAGCACTTATTTGACCTGAAGATAGTATACAATTTTAAAAAAAGGATACTTCCAACTGCAGTTCGGTACTGTGGATCCAGTGCTGCATCTATCTCATCAAAAAGATAGAAAGGAGCTGGATCACATCGCTGTATGGCAAAGATAAGCGTAAGGGCAACAACAGTTTTTTGACCCCCCGACAGCTGCTTCATAGATTGTGTCTCTCCTTGTCCAGTGAAAGAAACCTGTAATGCAAAAGATTGTCCATGATTATCAGAAGAAATGTTTGGAGTGATGCCCGACAAACTCCAACTAACAGACATCACGCTCCACATGAAAAAGGGGCAGGGGATGTAGACATGCATGCCTCGCAATCATATAATGGATCAGGACACATCTGTTTAGTTGGGCGATGATGTTTGCTTTGTCGAATGTAGATTTTTCCTTTTGCTAGGTTTGCCAAG